CGTCCACTAGCAAGGCGTTGACTATCACTCGCTGTTGATATTGTGTAGTACCAGAGAACTGCCAAACACCAAGCACTCGCAGTCGTCCACCTCCAAAGCCTTCAACCACGTCAACCGGTGCCTTCCTACTGATACACCTGCCGTACCGACGAAGCTCCACACCAGCTACACTGAACTGCGCGCATGTATCTAACTTGGCCTCCAGAATACACGTCTTGGACACCGCTAATAACGCCGTGGGCAGACTTCGCATTCTTCCGTCACCAACAGCACGTAGTTGGGCTACGCGTTGTTTTGTACCACCCTCACTAGCAACCAGCTCCACGTCCCCGTAATTGCCTTGTTGTACGTACTGGTACTGTTGCTTCTGTTTGCGTACACTTTTGCTAGCCATACGTGCCTTCTCAGCTGTCGGTTTCTTGCTCCGTAATTGTCCCCCTCGTCGCAGTTGCTCTAGTCGTTGCACTCGCTTAAACGCTCGGAACTTCTTGGCTTCTTTCATGGCTTCTCTCCGCACTCGGCGCATGTCCTGCAATGATCCCCTTTCCTCCAACCACTTGGGTACTTTCTCGTCGTAGATCTGCTCCAACTGCCACTGATCACTGCTCTCCAGCGTCGCTGGGGACGCTTCCTGCACGGATCCAGTGTCGTTAGTCTCTACCGATCGTAGCTCTGCGTCCTCTGCTGCTACTCGAGTCACTGTGTCCCTCAAGGCCGCCACCACCTCTTTCACTCGTCGTTGGCGATCCTGTACTGGGACTAACGTGCTGCTACCGGAAACTCCTGCAATTAGCCGTCGTACTTGTGTCCGCAGCACTTTCGCTCTTTCTTCGCGTCTTTCCCGAAGCTCCGCAGCCAGTAGACCATGTACAGCAGCAAGCTGGGTGTCAGGTCTCCGGTGTCGCCGCTTCTCCGCCGCCGCGCGTCCTCCACTTAACCGCAACCGTCGTCTCATGAATCCCGCAGGCAGCGTCGCACAGGTACTCGTTGCCATGATTGTCGTGTCTCCAACCACCATCATTGAATCTTGAGTTGCCGCCGCCGACGTTTCCAGGTTATCCCGACTATCCTCTTCGTCTGACGGTATTGTC